CCCTGCTGCGGCAGGGAGTTCCTTCCCTTTCTGGCTCCCCACTGATGGTGCACTGCCTTTTCACCTTAGGTGCGTCCCAAAGGTCCCAAACGTTCCAACCATCCCTGGTACCTGGAGTCTGGGGATTGAGATATATCCCCTCAACCCCCACCAGTCCCTGCCACTGCCAGTCTCCCTGAGATTCAAAAAATCTGCCGCCAGGGGAAGGAATAGAAAGACAGGATTTGTTTTTACCTCATTTAATCCTCACTAACTTCCTATGAGATATATTCATTTTATAGATGAAGAAACTGAGGTTTTGCAAGGCTGAATAGTTTCAGAAAACCATATAGCTAATGAGTAGAACAATCAGGATTCAAACCCAAGCAGGAAAGTAGTTAAAGGAAGCACTCTGCTACTTTTAAGTCATTACCCCTTATCAGAAATCACACTTGAAGTTCACTGGAGAAAGGATAAGAGAGTACTAGAAAGGTCATTTTTGTTCAGACAGTATATGCTACTGGAGTTTATGTTTTTAAACAAATCAGTTCCACAATTAAAGCTGATACTGTTACATAAATCACTTTGCTGTTATTTTTAACTTTAAAGTTTATATACTGTCTACTTTTTCCTGAATAGAAGCAATACAGTTTTAATCTGAAGAAGAATAACTTGAGTTTCAAATTTGCTTTTCCAGTTATGCTTGAAATCTTATGAAGTATATCCACCAAAGATTTCTAAAATTTTCCTTTTAAAAGCAAAAATTGGCCCTCCCTGGTGGCGCAGCAGGTTAAAGCACAGCACTGAGAAGCTAAAGCACTTCCACATGAGTTCGATTCCTGCCTGCCCCAGAGGTGACCACATGGCGTGGCAGACCTCTCCTGACCCGCCTGCTGCTCCCTTCAGCAGTGTACTTCGTCGATCTGCCTGTTCTGCACCACACTCTGTCTCTGGTGAAGCCTCTCATCGCCCCTATACCTCTGGCCTGTACCCCAGTTCTGTATGCATAAATAAATAAATCTTAAAAAAAAAAAGAACACTTACTTGAGCTCTTGTCTCTCCTTTTGACTATTACATAGGAAGTTTCCAAACTGGCAAGAATAAACGTGGTGTTGAATGTGAATCAAAAATCTTTCATTGAACTCAAAGGCACAGGGAAACTGTTCCATTAACTGCCAGACACATTCAATGAACTGGTCAATAACTGGAGAGATTTCTTTTGGATCACCATCTAGATTGCCATATCTGTAAAAAGTAAAAGAATTAGACATTTTAAGGAAAATTTGCTTTTTTTTATAGAAAGCTATAGATGAAAAACACCATAAAAGAAACTCTAGTACCTCAATAAATTTTGTCTTATAAACTCAGAATCCATAAATAGAAAAACAACTTTTCCATAATGTTTTTTTTAATCGAGGTCACATTGGTTTACAACAGTGGACATAATATAGAGCTACAGGATCACCTCTTTGATATATGTTAACACAATGCCCGCACCACCAAGGGACCCTCAGTCCTCCACCAGAGTCCACTGGGCTCCTCTCACCTATTGCTCCTCAATACAATGACTTCTTAAATTCCAATTTCAATAGAAACTTTGTAGTGAAGTTCTACATAGAAAAGGGACATATTCATATATTACAAAACAAAACATTGGTGCTAAAGACAAAGTTCAAAGAAACTTTCCATGGAAAAAAGGTTAGTTCATATTTTGAAAGTACATCAGAACTTCTAAAATAAATCTGCTAATTTATTTTAGTGACTAGGATGAAACCAGGAAGTAGCTAAGCAACAAAAAGTTTTTCATTTTGCTCTGTCTCATAGGAAAGGAATAAAGAAAGACAACTTGAAAAAATAATGGTTCCCAATATTCTCCAGATAGACCCATTTCTAGAGAAGAATTAAAACTCACCACATAATTTATGTCCATATGCCTTTATATCTCCCATAGCTTTATCCTTCAAGAGTTTATCAGAATCTTCTCCACATTTATACACATTTTTAAATGAAGTCAATGTGGTCCTTGATTTTAACTAATTATGGCGATCAGTTTGTAATATATAGAAATACTGAATCCTTATATTATAGACTTGAAACAGGTCACTGACAATTACATCTTAATAACTTTTTTGTGAATAATATTTTTTAAAAGAGACCACCTATTACAATTCACAGCTAATCTTCAGCATTTCCATATTCTTTCTGCCCATATGTTTTATATCAAGGAGATGCTTCACCTCCTAGTTGACAGACAATAAAACCAAATAGGGGGCACAGATAACCAGGCCACCTGGCAGCAAATTTCACAGCCTGGAGAGGGGGTTGGATCAATGTGTCCTATGTGTAGGGCCATTGTCCTATTATCACCTCTCAAGAGATACCTGGGACAAATTTCACCTGTGACATAAATGCCTTAGGAAAAATCCAACTTAACTTGCAGTGTGAAAGGTCAAAGAGAACCGTCCACATATTTCACAGTGTACAGCTTAAAGTGAGTATTTGCACTTCAAAAATGGAAAATTTAGTAAGTCAGGTGTGTATTGTTTGAAGGAAGGGAGAACTCATTTTTTCTAGGTCAACTATTGAATAAGCATTATTCTCTTCTGAAACACTAACATTAGTTAGTTATGCCTGGCAAATACCAAAAGCAATTAAAATTAGAACTTCATTTATCCATGTTATTATGAATACAACAGCACTAAGTAACTTTTAAAAATAAGGCTAGTTCACCCACTCAGTTGAAAGCTACAGAAACAGATTGTTTTTATTCTAAATATCCAAAACAACAAGTTTTTAAATATTTCTTACCTATGATTAAATTTATGGCCAAAGGAAATCCAGTCCTTTTCAATTAATACCTATACAAGAAAGAATATAAATATGGAGAAATGCAAATGAGGAAAAAATTAGAGGCCACATCAATAATGAAGTATTCAGACAAAGTTGTTGAGGTAAGATATCACTAGCCTTGGGTCACCTGCAAATGAGAGAGTACTCAGTCTCCAGCAGTAGAAACACATGCCTGAAAGGTAGGGTAAGGCCATTTTAGGGGGGGAAAATGAATGGATATATGAGAATGTAATACCACCTACTGAGTGTTTTCTGTGACCCAGACAATGTTCATATTGCTGCAAAGAAAATCTCACTGTGGGATCAATATCACTATCACACTTTATAGGAGGAGAAATGAAACATACGGTTAATATTCACCTAAGATCATGTTACTAGGAAAAGGTAGGTGCCATACTCCATAGCTCCTCTCGTAACTGACTTGTGATGCTTAGTAACAAATACCAACCTGTGTACAGGAAACAACTAGGAGTGTCTTCCAATGATCTTTATCATGCATTAGAAGAATTCTAAAATGATGAGTGTTTGGGGCATATCAGAAGTTGCAGCCCTGCTTTGGAATTACATGAGTTTATAATTCAAATTGTGTGGATTAAAAATATCTAAGTGATAGAGAATAAGCATCAATATCTCCATGCTATCAACTGGCTAGAGGCTTCCTTTAAAATATGGAATGAGTGAAGCTTGTCCTTGACAATTCTGAAGTTGAATGGGGCAGTCAGTCAGTGGAGGCAAAGTGTGGTGGAGAACAAACAGCCCCATTGAAGTCTAACTCAGAACCTACTATTCTCCAAATATACATGAAGGAATCCAGCCCCACTAACCTCAGTTTAGGAGAGGGGACTGACAAAGTGTCATTCTCAAATCTCAGTGCTGTCACAGGCAGTTGGAAATTCTCTGACACTCTGACAAAAAGAAAAATCACAAGACAGGTACACAGCCTCTTCTCTCTTGTCCCCAGAGTGCCAACAGGCAACACCTGATAGAGGAGCTCTAGCAGCAGAGATTCCCATTCAGGTGCCTCTGTGTCTATTCCCAGCAAGGATTCCAGAGCCACTGAAGTGCTTTTTACCAAGTTATGGTTCAAAAGGGGAATACCAGGTGCTCTCCAGTCACTTGGAGATTTATAATGAATGTACTATTTTAAACATGCTATTTTACAACCAACCAGACATATTTTATATTTGCCCCCAAATTCACATTTAATAACTGTGGTTTGAATAAGTGCCAACATCCCAGAAATTAACCTCTTTATTCCAATTTATGCCTCGTTCCTCCTTCCATTAATCATGTTGATTTTTATGAAGGGAAAAATAATGTTGATGAGAAAAAAAAGTTGCAACAGTTGCAAAAGAAATGTCTGTCCCATTCAAGGCTCTGTGTCAGAGCCCGGCGGCCACACTCACCATGAAGCCCTTCAGAGTCCGGTAGTGCGGATCCAGCAGCAGGCTGGCGACTGAGCACACCTGGGCGGTCCTGTCCCAGCCATCTGAACAGTGAACCAGCACACTTGCCCCTTCTTCGGAAACCGCCTAAAAATCACAAGATTGGCAGGGTCACAAAGAATGGCTCTATAAAAGAAACATCATTCATCTCTATATTTAAACAGGCAAAAAAAGAAAATGCAAACCTGTCATGCATTTAGCGTTCCTATCCCCAGGCAGAGCCAAAGCGTGGTTTTGTGCTTGGGTAGCTAAAGCTTTAGTTTTTCCTTCCCTTTCGATTGCGTGTCACCTCAATTAAGCATATGTCCTCTATAAAAGTATGCTTCCTGTGCCAACATCTCCGTGACATGCCTCCCAGCCCACCTTCCACTCGCTCCTCCCCTGAGTTTCCGCCTTAAGTTTTTCAGATATTGAAATTCTGATGCTGTTCCTGGCTCTATTTCCAAAGAGGAAAAGATGCAAAAAAGGTGAACAGTAAAACCGTGAGAAATATAACAGCCAAGAAAAGAATTTTCACTTGCTACTGCAAATGTGTACACACTTTTTAGCTGAGTATTTCTGCAGAAAATAAAATCTGGGAAGCATGGTGGAAATTTCACTACAGCAGTTATCACTACCTGAAACTCCTTTCTATTCATTTCCTGTCTCCCCTCTATGTGTGTGCGTGTGTGTGTGTGTGTGTGTGTGTGTGTGTGTGGGGGGGGGGAGGGGGGGGGGTGGAGGAGGGAGAAGCCTAACCTGGCTTATTTTTATTTGGCATTGTAACCTCAGCACCTACAACAGTGCCTGGCACTAAATGAATATTTGTTGAAGAAATGAATTGCCTAATAAAACAAATATACCTACCATGTAATTAGAAAAGACATAATTGTCTTTGGGCATAAAACAGTTCATTTTTAAATAACATTTACTTTTTGCATAGAAGAACTGGGGTGTAGGCCAGTGAGAGAATTCACCAGTAACAGAGTGGGGAGCAGAACAGGTGTTTATTTTTAAATAACATCTACTTTTTGCATAGATGAAGTGGGCTATCATTAAAGGGGAGTTATTTACTAAAAAGCCTCAACCACTGGTGACTCATGGATGGATTTTTCTATACCATTTTTACCTCCATCTAGGACCAAGTCTAGCTAAAGAGAACATTCTGAAAATATTTCACCACTTGGTCACTGGGATAACACAGAGTAAAATGAGCACTGTCTTTTGAAAAATTACAACTTCTGGTGGCAAACTTCTCCAAAGAAGCAGGATCTCCACTTCTTTGTTTTCTCTGTAACCACATACCTTTGCAATGAACATTCCTGCATCCATGATAGCCTTAATGTGCCTTAGCCAGCCAGAGTTTTCCAGTCCCCACAGAAAGTCACTCATGGAGGGAGATTTAAGTTCACACACTGCAAGATAAGTCATGTTATAATACAAAATAAAGGCAATCTTTCACTCTACATATAATTAATTTGCAGGTAGATTATAAATGATTTTTGCATTGTAGTGTTTTTGGACAACTCAAGATCAGTGTCAAATCTTACTAAATCTTCTGTTTCAAGGCTTTTCTTCTTTGTTCAGAGGGGTACTGTATCTGTTTAGGAATGCTATATTTGTAAAGTTTAAATTCCAATATTAATAAAAATCCATTGATGTTACCATCATAAATATCCAGCAGAAAAGATCTATTTAATCTTTCTAGCCAAAGATTACTTGAGTTAAGAATACTATGGAGGAAAAAGAAAACTTCTAATTGACACCAGCATTTTCCCAACTACACCTCTCCATTATCCAACCACTTCCATGTAGGACTTCTATAAAAACAGAAAACAGACCATCCTAAAGGTCCTAAGTGGAAATGATCAAACTCCTCTTGTCAACAATTCCTAATCAATGGGAGCAAAGCATGTATACTTAAAGATGAGTTTCTTTACCTCTGAACCCCTTTCTAGCATATCAAAGCAGGAGGGTTCCCTTTGAAAATAAAGAAAACACTAGGATCCCAATGACATGTATATCTGCATAATCAAGGCAGGAATGTAAACACTTCTATAGGATTTATTGTGAGGGCTTATCTTTTACCTAACAAAAAGCCACGAAAACCTTTTAGATCTAGTGTTCTAACTAACTACATATCACAAATGTTGCATTCTATAATGCCCTTTTGACATTTGAAGAAGATTCCACAGATTTTGTTTAAGTGTAGTTCATTGTACTCTGTGATATACTGACACCACTGGTGTAAGGAGCCCTATTTTATACTTCCAACTTGGTCAATAATTAGCAATAAAATCTTGCATGTCATCTCAATGCTCTGAGCCTTGACTTTTTTCATTTCAAGTAGAGAACATACACTAAATGACACCTAAGTACCCCTGCAACTCTAAACTCCCTGATTCAACTTTTGTGAGTCTCTCGAAAGCACTGGAGGACCTGTTCTCAACAATACCTAGCCTGTGGGATGTCTTTACCTCGGATATATCAGATAGTAGAGGATGGATTTCGATTTCCTGCAACATAAAATCACACCAAAAAACCACAGGTGGTTAAACTCTGAATCACAGATGACAACAGTGATGAAAGAAGGAACACTGAGATTCCCTGGAAATGTCTTGAAGAAAATATGCTATAAATATGTCGAGGAAATAGTTTTCCAAAATCTGCCTTGAGCTGGAAGCAAAGGTAGAGAACTGAGTTCTGGCATCACTCTAATTGGGAGCATTCACTTTGCGTGAGATCACATTGCTCCCTCCTCCCCACCATCCCCAGCAGAGATACACTATTAATATCTGGGAAATACAAGGAAGATAGTACAGGTGCTTGGCTGAAGCCAGGTGAGAATATGCAGATTGATGCATAGAATCTACAGCCCTGTCAGCCCCAAACCCCTAGACACAGCAGCAGGCTGAGTGCCCCCAAACTCATGGCATCCTTAGTCATTTTGTTTTTTAGTCTCCATCTTTATTTTATTTCTACCTACACCCCCCCTTTAGTTAAATTGTGTCATTAAATATTTAAGCCACAAAAGATTTTAAAATAATGAGAGAAGTCAAATTACTTCACAGGTCTCTTTAAAAAAAAAAAAAACAGGAAATGAGAGATAAGAAAGGAGAAAAGAGAAGGGGAAGGGAGACAGGAGGAAAAGAACTAAGAAATGAGGGAAGGAAGGGGAAGGAGGAAAGAGAGAACATTACAAATGGTGTCCCAGGATCCGGGCCCCCGTGTCTTCTCTGCAAAGCTTGACATTCCCATGTAGGTTTCTGTCCCTTCACTACTGAAAAGTACTAGCTGTGTGAGCACGGACAAAGTAACTCATCTGTGCCACAGTTTCCACAGCTGTGAAGGGGGATAATGACAGCTAAAAAGGATTTTCTGTTAGTCCTCCTTACTATTATTACTCTCAAATAAATAATAATGTTTTAACATTATTAACAATTTACATAAATATATCTTTTGCCTATTTCAACCTAGTTTTTTGAACTCAACATTTTATTTTTGAGACATGTACGATGTAAATAGATTAGTTTCCTTCATTTAACAGGTACATAATATTCCACTCTGTGAACATAGATCATTCATTCTCCCCATTGCTGGCAGTTACTTCCTCTTTCTCAATATGTATAAAGAGAACAGCAGAAGTCGTCTGTCTACTGCCTCCTCATGGACAATCTCTGTACGTGTATTTCTGTAAGTGAAACAGGCTGGGTCATGGCCTTGCTGCCAGTGGGTTCTCCAAAGTGCTGTGCCTGCCTCCATTCTCACCAGCAGATGGGGGGTCCCCTCCCCAACCCTATGCATCACTAATGCTACCAATTTTTCCAATCTTGACTCCAAGAAACTTATGGCACATTTTTTTTTTTTTTTATATTTCTTCAGCTCTCTGAATGAATGTTTTTCCCACTGGAGCCCTTCTGTTTATTTTCTTGCACTTACATGTGCATGATCGTGTTCTGGCCCTCATGGTGGCTTTCTTCAAATCTCTGTTACTCTTTTATCCACCTTCTACATGAGTCAGGCACAGAGTAGTGTTGCATGCCCTCTGGTACTGCTGCGCTGGCTCTGAGAGATGTGGCTGGTCTGACCCCTAGATGTTAGGATCTGCAAGTTTTTTTCTCTTAGAAAAGCTAGAGCTCCAGGAAGGGCCTTCAACTTGAGTTACTCAAATAAGACTGCCTGCCAGTATCTTTGGAGCAGAGTTCAGCAGGGAATAAGGGTCTTTTTCCAATATGGAAGTCACCTTCTCATTTCCTTGTTGGGCCTGGTATTCCCTACTCCTCTCCTGTCACCATGCCTGTGACATGAGGGTCTTGCCACCAGTTTCCTGGTGACAGGTGGGAAGAGCCTCCACCTGGCCACGCAGAGAAGGGGGTGGTGGCCAGGCCACTGGTGCATGTTCAAATGTCCAGCCAGGCCTGTTTCGGAGGCACCTGAAGCCTTGCGTTACCGAACTCTCTGGGGATCTCTGGGTCCAGCTGGTTTGCTTTGGGGTTTCTCCCCCCTCTACTATAAATTTCAGCTTTTTTCTAGTGTGTTGAGTAGTTGTTAATAACACTCATCCATCCATTTTCCAACTTTTAAAGTTCTACTGCTTCCTCCCTGCCATTCTCCTGCTGTCTTGTGTTTTTATAGATGTCTGTGTATCACTCACTCCCTTATCAGTTTAGTGGGGTCAGGAGGAAGTGGGTAAACACATGCATCACTGGGCTGTGTCTACTAGCCTCATGCATGTTAGGGACCCAACATGATAATTTCCTTATATGTAGGATTCCCCAAACTGATAAATTATCATATTTGGGGCTCGCAGGCTCCTAGGGAAAGCAAGCCCAAACCTGCTCAGTATCGATATTTCTGTGATTTTGTAGGATGCCGCAGAAAAAGTTTTGCTTAAAATAAATTCACAGTTAAACTTGACAGCACGGCAAGGAACAACATTCTCAAGTAACAGCAAAGAGGAAAAAGATACAGGTTAGCAGTCCAAGAAAATGACAGAAGAGAAACCCAGCACCAACCTTAACACATTTAAACAGGAGCAGGATCACACTTCTCACCACTGTTGTGATCAGTGTGAAGTCCTGGGGAGAACTGCCACATCGCTTTCTCTCTGGTTGCAGCTAGGAGGTGCCACAGACAAGCAGGATGTGGGAAAAGGGTGTGTGGGGCCCAGGGCCAATGCTGTCTTTTATCAACCTGAACTCGCCGTCTCTGCCTCCCATCCAGCTTTTCTCTCTCCAGCCTCCATCCAACACAGGAGCACTGCCTAACAGACCTCTTCACCGCTCGCCTCAATGATCTGCCCTCCATCTGTACCCAGGGCCAGCTGCTGAGCCTTGTTTTCCTCAAATGTAAAATGGGTATGAAACACCTTCCTCAAAGAGTTGTCGTAAGGATAACATAAAACAAGATCTATAAATTTTGCTGGATCCGAAAAGCTCAGAAATGGGGTTATGAAGTACATTTTATCATTCACTTTATCCAGCATGGTAACCTGACAATCAGGAGATTTTAGATGTATCCATTCTCAGAGAGATTAAAATACAAAGTGATTAATGACAGATGGAGAGGTCATGTCTTCCCACAGACAGGCATAGATTTTTGGCCACATGGTTAGCTACTGGGTTTGACTAGGAATGATAACCACAAAAATTGCCAGATGCCAGACACTCTTCTGAGTGCTTTGTGTCTAACAGTTTTGTAATCCTCATAATAATCACATGAAAAAGATGCTTTTCTTATATTCATTTTATGGAAGTGGGGACCAACCAAAGACAGGTTAAATGTCCCAGGTCATCCAGCTGATAAGCAGCTAGGCAGAGATTCAGTAAGTTCCTGCTCCCAGACAATGCCTCTCAACCCGTTAGATTAGATTTCATTATTCAAACATGAACCGAGCTAAACGTTCCTTGGCTCCCACATACAGTTTTAAGGGCTGAATCAAGATATGTTCTGTATGTAAGGAATATCCCAAACTTTGGCTCTCCCTGGTGGCACAGTGGGTTAAAGTGCAGCACTACAAGCTCACTGCAGCCACTTCAGTGCACGTGAAGCCCTAGCCCCAGAGGTGATCCGTAGGGTGCAGCAGACCTCTCCTATCTCACCTGCTGCTCCCCTCAGCTGTATTTCAGTTGATCTGCCTGTTGTGCTCCCCACTCTATCTCTAGTGAATCCTCTAACTGCCCTTGCACCTCTGGCCTGCACCCCAGTTCTGTATGCATAAATAAAATAAATTAAAAAAAAAGACTATCTCTAATTTCCAATAAAAAGGAAAGAATATAAAATATCCTCAATAGCTTCTCACTATGATGATATATTGAAACATTGTTTGGGATAGATTGTGTTAAATAAACTGCCTTATTAAAATTAACTCATTTCTTTTCACAATTTTGAATGTGGCCTCTAGAAAACCTGAAAT